ATATAAACTTACCTTGCAATGTACAGCTCCAGAATTTCAGGAAAAAACTCCAACAGAATTAAAATGAGAATGTGATTGTGTAAGTGTTGTGACATCGACCTCTGAGTCGAGAGCGACGTCAGCGATTGCCTGCGACGGCTCGCTGGCATCGCTGTGGCTGAGGGCACAGACATCGTCGGCACACTCCGCCACAGGGCACGCGAGTGACTGTGAGACACTCGCACTGTATATGGATAGCTTGTAGCACTGCCACCTGTGGCGCAGCCCATCGTGGGACGCTGCAGGACCACATATGGCAGTCGTATGGCACCGCCACCCTCAAATACCGGGGGGAGACACGAATTTCCGGGGGAAAACACAAACATTCCGGGGGTGGAATATTTGTGCACTTTGACAAGCATAGCACATGAGCGTTCCCGAAGGTGAACAACCAATTGCAAGCGAAAGGAGTCACGCTGATCCCTCTACACGGATAGGATTCATTCATTGCAGAGCCATCTCCTTGGAAATGTGCCACGTCAGGCGAGAATAGGACGAAGAAGAAGCTTGGAGAACCGAAGTGGTAAGTCCAAAGAAAGCGCGCCCGGACTCGGACAGTCCAGGCTAGTACCGCACTGGCACTAGACTTCTACCAGTTTCGTGAGCACCCGGGTAACGACGCAGAGCTGCAGGGCGCCCTGCAGCTCCTGTCCGCGTCGCACGACAAGATATCCGACGAGCAGAGGTCGGCCTAGAATGACTGGGAAAGGAAAAAGCGCGAAGAGTCTAGAGACTCCATGGGTCTGATGTCGCTGCGCCGGGACATGATGTCAAACAGAACGGCAAGTCATGGGGCTTCTCCACTGGCTCACCGTGGCTATCCCCGCCATGGCGTTCTATATAAACCCGTTCCTTACCGTCGCGTTCCCCACTGCACGTCTACGACAACCACCACACACGCTCATCTGACGACATGACTCGCACTGCTCGCGCCAACTACCCCCGCGCGGTCTCCAAGGACCGCTCTGAGGCCAAGAACGGCATGGACAACTCGACCAAGAAGCACGGCGCTGGCCCGCACAACTGGGGTTCGCTCGACCACGAGCTCGAGCTCGAGGCCGCTGGTATTGCCGACGAGGAGAGAGAGCTCGAGGAGGAGGAGCTGGAGGGTCCCACTGCTCGTGCAGGTAATGCCCTTGCATTCATTCACGCATAACATTGGCCTGACGCTGCTATCGCAGTGCACTCGGACCGGACAAGGCCTGCCATCGACAGAAGCCCTAGCAGCATGAGCGAGGAAGAGCTCGCCCAAGCTAGGGAGGTCAGGAAGAAGGCTGCCAAAGGCCAGGACGTCGACTTGGCAGCCATTGCCCGTTCCTCGGCCGCTGTCTCCACCTCTCCTCCCAACCGGACCATTCCCATCTCTACCGACGCTGATGTAGGTCGCAGTATCTTATGGACTTGACCCTCGATGCTAACATTGATAATTTAGACCACTACCATGAAGAGCGACGAGCGCGCTTAGACAACTATTGTATATCGGGAGTACTTCGGGACCAAGTAATCACGAGAAGTTATAATGAAGCAATCATGTACTATTAGACACACATACATCAATGTACTGCCTGCAACATTCATGCTCTTGGAATGAGGCTCAAAGAACCGTATTCCCGCAGGTGTTAAAGCACTGGACCAGCCACCATGTTTCAAACATACTAGTGATAAATCGACAGCATATACAGAGCATATACAGAGCATAATCGGATACGGTACCCGTGCATATGTACATATGGCGGAGCGACTTCGAGTAGCCTAAACGTGATGGTCTACATGTCGCCCCGAGCCGCCGCTGGGTTTCCGCTGAGTGGCTTCAGTAGGACGTCGCTCTACGCGGATGCATCGCATGTTAGGATAGTGCAAGACAAGACGACCGCCTTCCTTGATAGCGCGGACCTCTTCAAACTAAGAAAACATGAGTATATGTCGAGGGGACGGATGGGCACCGCTATCGTACCTTGGTATCTTCGGGCAGCGGTATAGTCCGACTGAACTGCTTCTCTTCCCTCTCTCTGACCATAGTACCTTCTTCCTCGTATTCAATGACGCTCACTGTCTTCCATGTAATCGTAACCCGCTTCGAGTGGAAGCTAACGTGCATATCCTCCTTCTTAACCCCCTCCAGGTCGAATACCGCTGTGACCTAGCCAACATCGACATCAGCCCAATGCCAATGCTCGGTAGCCTCGAGGCACCTTACCGTGCGGCCATCGGCAGACTCTTTGAAATTGACACTGGGGAAGGTCGTCTCAGTACTTACGTACAAAGCAAGAGAACACGCTCGATCAAAGGCAAAACAACGCACATCGACTTCCGCCTCACGAGCTTCGGCTTCTGCGCGGGGTGCCTGGCGGGCCCTTCGGGCCTGCCCTGTCTATGCTTAAATCCGCGCTCCTTAGCCTCCCGCACGTTCTGCCATACCGCGTCGATCCACTCTGGCGGCGTCTCTGGCCCGAAGGAATCGTCGGAGGATCGACGGCGGGTGAGCTCGGGCGCGCGGGGGTGTTCTATGATCTCGTCCGCAAAGTCTATCGGGAACAGGAGCGGCGTCACTTCGCCGCTGTCCTCGGTGTACGATTGCTCGAAGACGCGCAGCGGGTTCGCAGGACGTGCGCATTGCGCAGCAATGCGTCCGGAAGCCATGGATCCAGAGACGAGGGGTCTCAAAAGTGTAGACGGTTGTTAGAGTTCACGGAGAAAGCACTGGCGTAGACATAGTCGCCCTGCTGGATGGAGGCCGCTCAGATGAAGTGCCCTGTCCCACGAGACCTATAGCAGAGGTAATTGCCGACTTTCTGGACAAGCAGGCACGGGGGCGATTGATTCCGGGGGACACCTTTCTCCATCCCTATTATCGGATCTTCCTGGCTTTGTCCCCAGGCTCCACTCCCATCTAGAGAAGACCCCCGCGTGCTTATCGGGCTCCATAGTCGCCTACAAGACCAGCCAAGCGAACAGTCATGTACTGAATGAAGGTCGTTACAGCATCGGTGAGGGCCGAGTTGGCTTGGAGGTCGGTAGCAGACTCGTGATAGCAAGCCGGCATGAGGCAAGAGCAATCGATGAGCTTAATTTCTCAAGACACGAGGCAGTAAATCGGGTCGCGGGAATGATGTGGAGGCGCTGGCTTTCATTCCATAAAACACCGTACAGCCCGGTGGACAAACGAAATGCTGTCGCATTCTGTTGTTAGTGCTGAAAATGGCGAACGGCGCAGATACTAACTCGAGGTGAATTGACCGAGAACAACGACACGGCTGCAAACAAGCTGAATTCAGTATTGTACAGTGAAGGTGATTAAGAAACATGCCGGTTCGGGCTAACTCGGGCCTGGGCGTCTGTAAGGCGGTTTCTCGTCTACTACTGCCACTGGCACTGTAAATCTTTTCTAGAAAGTCGCATATCAAAGCGAGCACTGTATCATTGACAGACCGACCCAGATGCTATTGCAACCCCAGTATGTTTGCTGTGGCCAGGCTGTGGCACAGTGGCCAATAGGAGCCGGGAGCAGTGTCGAACATATCTTTGTAAGTACAGCATTGAAACCTGTTTCGTCGTTGGTGCGCGTCAATGCGCTTCTTATGCGTTCCTGTGACCCGTCCGGCCAGGTATACCCACGAGCGCTCAAGCGCCTTTCACGAGAGCAGGTAGATATGGATCCTCATTTGTCAAGATGCTATGCCCCGGTCTGATTGAAGTTCTTCTCAGGACACGTTCTCGTGACCAGGTCGCGTCGAACCCGAAGCCTGTGCTGTACAGCGCTCCTACTTTAGGACTGCTAGGCGAGCGTCACTCTTTGAAGGTCGCTCCGTTGTAGCTTTCGGCTGGACTCTACTACAGCAGAAAGCGACCGCAGGGGCCCGCTCGCCCTGCTTCCCAAATCGACCTCTTTCTCGATGATGCAGGAGAGCATCCGAGATGGTTTTGAAACAGCTTCTCTGTGGACGGCTACGGACTCCACGTTATCGACCCGTCCTCAGCTGCCTAGCACAGTCGGAAAGGCCGTGGTTGGCGTATTATGGTCTCTTGGCAAATTGGAATGGCTGGGCGCTTCCAGCTCTGCTCACAATCCGTCGACAGTCGTATCCAAGATGCTGGTTGTCCGTCAAGTGAACTGTGCTAGTTGTTCATCAAGCCCTGTTCGAGTCTCGGCATCCCACAGCAAGACACGGTCATATAACGATGTGATAGATGGTGTACTCGGCAACAACACGCTCTTCTACTGCGATCGATGTCGCACAGAGTATATAGATGCGTTGAGGGGGAATTCCTCAGAGTTCCGCCAAGGCTGCGAGAGATTGGTACAGATGATCCGGTGAGACGAATCCGTTGCGTCTATCCGTGTCTTGGCCTGACTGTCGTGCGTAGGCGAGGAGACGACGGAGTCAAACTACAAGCGATCGACTTAGTCACCGCTCTGGTCTCGCTTCATTGGGATTTTGCGGTCTCCCTAACAATCCATGGAATCAAGATTGCGCTTGAAGAAATTCTCATCGAATGTTCGCACTTTATATCCAAAGACCCTGACAATAACCCGCTTTTCGAGTGCTGTCATCGTGCGTTGGTTTCAGTCGAAGAAGCCGCAGCTGTGGATCACACAAGAATGCACGAGTATTACACCGCATTCATAGCGTCCGATTCGGACAGTGGCGCGCCCTATATAAGCCAGTTAATCAAGGATATGAGGTATGTGTATCAGCTTCAGCATGTATACGATCACTACTCATCTCTCGACCTCTGCAGGAATGATGCCTATCGAGCCCTGGCGGTTCCGAATCTGATCGACATTCTCAAATCCTGTCATGCGGATCAGGATCTTCTGCGTACGATCAATCCGGGTATCTTTCCTGCTTTTGAGAAGTGCATAGAGCCATCCTTCGTAGAGCTGCTTTGGCAGCTCCTAGGAAGTTCCGATCCCATCGATTACAACAGCGCTTGCAGCATCCTGCCTCTGCTCTATGAGGCAGGGCAGAGTGACAATCATTCACTTGAATGGCAATGGAAAAGCTTGTTGGTCCCAATTATTAAAGCCAACGTCGTCGCGTGAGTTGCATCTTTCATGATTATTAATTTTTGCTGAAAGGAGTAGGTCAAGACGATCTTCACCTTCCGGCCCCTTCGGCCGTGTCACGGATAAATGCCTAATTGATGTCACTCGGTATCTTCGAGAAAGGGAGGACCGATGGACGAACTGCATAGCCAAGTTCATCACTGTGGAGACTCGCCGTCTAATACATGCAAAGGCCTCGACCAATCAGCAGACTGCTGCACAACAGGAATTCTCTCGAAATATTCAGGCACTAGTAGACCTTGTAGATATATCTGGCTTGAAGGTTTATCGAGTAGGTGATCCACGGCAGAATGATAGCAGACAGCTCACCAGATGGACGGATCGCAGCGCGTAACGCTTCTCGTCATGGATGCAGTAAGGAGTTCAGCCGCCAAGTGAGTTTCACGAATGTTAAGTGTGACGCTGAGCTCATTTTAATCAACAGCCCCGCGGCTGCGAATCCGGCCCTTGAACCTCTGCACGAGATTCTTCACGGCATGTCAACCGGCGATGTCGTGTCGAACCTCATGAAGAGTCGCGAATTACGCATCAAACTGATCTCGGTATACGCTACAACTGTCTTATACTGATATCTGGTGTTTAACGGTTACTTGTAGCTGTACTGCGACGGCTTAGGTTCTACCGCCGACAGATGCCTGCGTGATTCGATCCAGGCGGACGAAAGAGATCTTCTCGACTTGATTGAAGGAGTCCTGGACTCCGAGACTAACTTGATTGACAGCCTCTTGTCGCAGGAGGAGGACGCCGCAGCCTTTTTAGACCTACTGCAGTGGGTGAGTGGCCTCCATTTGATGGTATACTCCACCCTGAATGCCAACCCCCAAGGCAATCGATAGTTGTCATATGTCGGGATTGCGGAGTCAGCACAGGGATATTACGACGTTCCTCCGCAGACTTAGTCGTACGCTCATGAGGTTGTCTCAAGGATGCCAGAGGCTCCCTAGATCTCTCACGCTCGAAGATGTGCGGCTACGCTCTGCTGATGCTGTCGCCGGCGGAGGGTTCGCGGATGTTTTCATGGCTACTCACGAGGGCAAAGACGTTGCCCTGAAGCGTCTCCGGGTCTTCCAAGGTAGAGCGGAGGAACGCATCAGTGTTCGAAAGGTACGATCCCGTGGAGGGATCAGTTCCGTAGGTCTGATTGCCTTGCCTAGAAATTCTGCAAAGAGGCTCTCATATGGCAGCAGCTCCGACATCCTTTTGTCCTTCCCTTCTTAGGTATCGATGGGACAACATTCGCTCCATTGATGTGCATGGTCTCCCCTTGGATGTCCAACGGCGGTGTACTGCAGCATATCGAGAGGCATGCTCCATTAGGCGTTAATGTTGACATCCTGGTATGTTCGTCACTTGCCTCAACTTTGGCTGTCTGACAAGGTAGCCATATAGTTGCTTGAGATCGCTGAAGGTTTAACATACTTGCACGAGTCTGGACTAGTGCATGGTGATCTCCGTGGTGTGCGTATATCTGCATGGTATCCTCGAGGTCGTCTTAGATTATGTGATCCAGGCAAACATTCTGGTGAACGAGGGATGGCATGTGCAGCTTTCCGACTTCGGTCTGACTGGCATTATCGACGGCACACAACGCAGCTCGAGTCGATGCGGCTCAGTCCGATGGATGGCCCCGGAGCTGATAAATCCGCGCGCTTTCCAATGCAAAGTATTCCAGAGGACTACAGCGAGCGACGTTTACGCGTTTTCCTGCGTATGCTTAGAGGTGAGTCTCTGTTTCTCGAACATATATGCTATCTCTGATGCCCTTCGTCGGGGATTGTGTAGTTGTATACCCTCCGAATGCCCTTTTCATCCGATATGCACGACTCGGAGGTGATCTTAGCGGTGATTGATGGTATTCGTCCAGACAAGCCGTCACCCGAAGACTGCAATGGACGAGTGCTGTCCCATGAACTGTGGCAGTTGATCACCCGCTGCTGGGTACAGCAACCAGATCAGCGTCTTACGTCGCGTGAAATCATTTCGCTCATGCATCGGGTGGTTAAGTCATAGTATGCTAGTATAATGGTGTTTGGGGCCATGTGAGGGGTAGTTCGCATTCGCTGGGCATAGTTGTGACTCTTCGCAATCACGGCGCAGGCGTGTACAAGCAATGTAAAACAGCACGACATCAAAGATATGACTTGTACACATGAAGTATCCTGATTCGGGGTGACTGTGATATGAGATACAGAGGTCAATAGCCTAGTTATACAGAATATACAGGTAGTGGTTACTTTTCCTTGAAATAAAAGCATCCCATCTGCGCCCAATTCATCCCTGAGCGACTGAGGATCCAAGACAGTGAAAGCGTATCTTCAACCAATACTCGCACATCATCTCTCCTTTCGTCTTCTCGTCAAGCCGACCATACCGAGTGGTCACCCTCAAGTTACCGCAGGTAACGGTAGGACACATCCAAATCTCCCATCCGGCCTCTTTCCCTCTCCCTCTCCTTCTCCTCCTCAAGTTTCTCGCTGGCCTTCTCGCTCCCTATACTGACCCTCTCCGTGTCAATCCCGGTCACTCCCTGCAGCTTGTCTCTCCTCTTGTTCTCCAGCGTGATCCCCACACAGTACGCCGTGCTTGCCACAATCGACAAGCACACAAACGCCAACGCGAGCGCATACCCCCGCGTATACCTCGGCGCGTCCTCGCTCGGGAAACTGTAGCTCGCAATGATGCCCCCAACGTTCCCGAAGCCGACCTGCCACGCGCTGCCGACGCTGCGCCGCGTGTGCCCGGCGAGGTTCGTGTTGAACCAGCAGACGAGGATCGGCATGGACGTGTACGCGCCGCACGTGACGAGGAAGAGCGCGGCGTACATCGCGTGCAGGTTCGTGTGGATCGTGAGCAGCATGATGAAGCCGACCGCGGCGAGCGCGCCGGTGAAGACGCTGAAGAGGTAGCGGTGCCGCAGGTGGTCGGAGAGCGTCGCGGTGATCATGGCGAAGAAGAAGGCGCATGCCCAGGGCGGGACGGAGTGCAGCTGGGCTTGGATAGCTTTTGGGCAGGGATGAGGTTAATGGGAAGTGGGACGGAGGATGGGAAGGAACTTACAGGTGTAGCCCAGACCTTTGATGATCGTTGGGGCGAAGTAGGCGTACCCGTAAGCGGGGACAATGAGACCAAAGTACATGAGTCCCCCGAGGAATATCTTGTCTGTATCCATGTCAAAAAAAGGTAGAACTAGATGAATAAGTCCAGCATCCCACTCACAGTCCTTGAAAACCGCTAGGACATCCTGCACCTTTCTCCTTCTGACGCCCTTGTTAAGGTCCTGGCCATCCTCCTCATAGTGACTCTCGCCTACATCATCTGCCAGGCGCGCCTTTACCACCTCCCTCTCCGCCTCGGTCAAAAACCGCGCCGCCTCCGGGAAACTCGGGATCAAGAAGAATAGGAATCCCGCAATGACGACTGTCGCAACTCCCTCAATGATGAACACCCACCGCCATCCTCTCCACCCGCGCGCCCCGTCCATCTGGCCTATTGCCGAGGCGAGCAGCCCGCCGAATGCGCCTGCGAGCGTGGTCGAGCAGAAGAAGAACGTGTACCGCTTCATGCTCTCCTCCCGCCTGTACCACATCGCAAGCAGGTAAAAACACCCGGGGAACATCCCCGCTTCGAAGAGCCCCAAGAAAAAGCGCGTCGTGAGGAGGCCCCCGTAGCTGCTAACGAGCCCCTGGCACATGGTGGTGATGCCGAACATGCCCATACAGAGCGAAAGCCAGACGTTCGGCGAGAGCTTCTTGAGGAGAATGTTAGATGGGATCTCGAAGAGGATGTAGGGCACGAAGAAGATGACGAGCGCGGTACTGTACTGGGTCGACGACATATGCAGGTCGGTTTGCAGCCCGTAGAGGGCGGCATTGGAAATGTTGACGCGGTCGAGGAAGGCCATTAAGTATAGGACACAGAGCACCGGGACGAGGTGGACATCGATCTTCCAGACCAGCGCGCGGGTGTCCACGGGCGTCGGCGCAGGGGTCGTTGTCATCGTCTTGGGCGACATTGGGAGGGCGCCGGGGACGGGTCGACCGAGCAGGGAGCGGGCGAGAGAGGGGCGGTCATTTGACGCTTAAATTCGCTGTGGGGGGTGATCATCCCTCAGGCACTGACTGACTCGGTAAGGTGTGGCGTCGGCTTATGATCGGAGTTAATACAGGAGCTTCGGACAACTGACCGACCAAACCTGGTTAGCGTCAAACGCGACGAGTACGCCGTCTATGCAATGTGCGTCGGCGCCGGAAGGTTCGTCCTTATTCCATGGCTGCTCACAGTGTCAGGCGCGTCGTTCCAAAGCGACTGCGACCTGTTCATTGACAGGGCTCAAAACACTTAGGCGAGACGAATACATCAGCGGTTGAAAAGTATGATCTCAACTATAGGATTTAGTATTTGCCGCAGGTGGATTGGATATCGACGCGGCCGGTTCCGCTCCATCATGCGTACAGTGTGAGGCGCTCAAAACCGACCACTCGGCAATAGGCGAGCCGCGGATCCTATCACGATCGTGAGAAAAAACTTTTAGGTCCCGAAAACCAGACCAATCGATTCCTTTTGACGAGAGCTTTCGAGCCATCTGATTATTTTCTCGAAATTCCGACTTTTGAGAATTTAATCCTTCACGTATTTGAATTTGGGTCGGAGATGTAGCGGAGTTACCATAAAGGGAAGTTTTGTAATCACGGCCAGGGTAGCCGAGCCACGTGCCTGGCTAGGGTTAGGGTGAAGGCACTACTTGCTTTGGACGTGTGGGACACTCCCTATCGCAGGAATTCCATCGGAGACCCCCATTTGCGTATTATACAACCATATTGAGTGATCAGGACGCAGCTGGCTCCCAAATAAATGAGGTTACGCTCGGTGACCCCATATTTGAACGCTTACGTAAGCGCCCAAAAAAATGAAAATGCAGGATTACGCATCTTTTGGCCAGGTTTATGTTTCAAATTTTTTTCTCGCCGCCTACGGCGGCATAATTAAGGTGCCACAGAGGTGCCGACTCTTAGTGACATACACTGTATGGTATGGCTTTCCATGTCCGACGGTGGTCGGTTCCAGTCATATCGAGTGACATGCTCGGTTAGGGAAATGTTATAGTTGACGAGGCGTCCATACTGGCCAGGATCTTCGTGGCGTGTATTATTAGCGTCTTCGGGACGCTCTTATCAAGAGAAATATCGGTTCGCGGGCAGTAGAGAACGGCAGGCAGGTGTCGACTTCCTGCTTGTGCATTATCCTGATCACGGATGGGTTCACTTCAAATGGCCATGTACTTCGAGTACTCAAGTGTACTGAAGCCACGCCATGGTTCAGCCACCCCTCAAGTGCCCAAACACGACCAAATAACAGCATGTCCCGAATAAAACTTCGCTCTGCACCGCCCACCGCTATCTCTTCGCTTTTCTCGCTTTGACATCAGGTGTTCTGATACTGTGAGTGCATATCCTCTACGGGCCTAATGATGGGCATTTTTGCCACTTCGTCACAATAGCATGTTAGACTTCCGACGCCCTTGAGGTTGAGGACATCCTTTCGACGCTGATACTCTCTATTCCCGTCATTCTCGGAGCTAACTGTCTTCCACAGAAACACATGCCCTTGCGATGCTGATACGTACCCTCATAACTCGGGCACTCTTGACTGCTTCGTGTGACGCCTAGCTGTTCTGGATGAAGTCGACTCTACCTAGAGAGTGCATTGTACTTACATTGGCACGGAGAATTACATGAAATACAAATAGCCCAGGCTAGCGGGAAAATGAGCTGAAGCAATTGAGCAGTCGAGAGGGTGGTGCTCGGGGAAGGGACGCCCATCGACATCAGGTCTGAGGAAGCTTGAACTTCTTGTTCGTATAACCACTCCCGATGCGACCCATGCCCAAACGTCGTTTCACTGGCCGTTCAGGTGCAGGGTCCGTCGTAGGAGGCATATCCTGCCCTGCAGGTTTGGCATGCTGAGCGGGTGGTTCGGAATGCTTGCCACTAAGAGTAGCTGGATTCGTCCGGTCACTGAGCACCACAGCTGGGAAAGAGGACTGCTGCCCCATAGGTTTCTTGATTTCTTTTTGCGACGAGGCAGGTCTCGCACGAGGAACCGTTGCCGTGGACAGCGAACTGCCGGTAACAGATCTTTGGGAGACATCCGGGGCAGTGAACGATGACTTAGGCTTTTCCGTGGCCAAAAGCCTCGAGGTGGGGGCCTGTATCGGTAGATTGTGTGCTGGTGTGCGTCGCCATCCAGAAGCAGTGCTGGAGGAGACCTGGCGAGGACGTGGCTGAGCTGAGGTAGAATGACTGGCTAGTCGAGGGCCAGTAGAAGTGGAAGTGCCCGGCGTCGTTGACTTAAATCCTCCAGTCGGGTTAAAAGCTCCAGCTGGGGCGAAGTTAGTGGGTAAAGCTTTCTCAGACGTGCGCATATACTGATGATACCGATCCGTCTTATAGCTGGACGAGGCCAGTAGTCAGTGCTCAAAATCGGAAGATGCATCTTGACCACCTACAAGGCGGCCAACTTTTCTCTCACAGCTGCTTTGTTCGGTGCTTCTCGACCCAGAACGGCGGCCATCTGCGCCAAATCCGGATAGCTCAGTTCAGGTGGTTCGTCGGTGAATGTATCCTAGTCGTCTATGAGGACGGTAAATGCAACATCAAGTGCCGGGAAGACGTACGGGGGCTTCTTCGATTACCGATGCCACAAAGGCCGATAGCTTCCTGTCTATTTGTCTGCCGGCTACCAGACGCTTGTTGCAATGTGAAAGGTATAGCAAGTTTTGCGCGCGGGTACACGCCACGTAAAGCAGACGTCTACGGTTGTCGTAAGCCAATGTATAAATCCATCGCCGATGAGATGTACCGTTCTTCGTTCAGATCCTCTGATAGAGCGAAGGGGAACGTCCCTTCCTCAACTAAAAGAACGATTAGGAGTTGGCTTCGTTGATGCCACAACACGCACCGGCTGGGATGAATACGACTGGCCACTCCAACCCTTTCGCAGAGTGGCACGTCGAAATTGTGACTTTCTGCAGCAAACAAATGTATTACGGCTCCGCCTCGGGTGAGCATTACTCACCTCCTTCTCGCCCCCTTCTCCTCCGTCACCAGAGTCACCAGAGAGCTGCGAAGCTTGGAGGAAGAGCCGGAGAGGGTTACTAAGATGAGATTGGGTGAGCATTGTCATCTACGGCCTCCTGATCCACCAACCTCTCGGATAGGGCCTCTCGATTGCCAGGGCCTTCAGCCGCGGAGTGCTTCAGCTCTATTAACCCGTCCGCGTCGAATTGAGCGGCCTCCGTTTCGTTTGGCATATCATCCCAATCTTTATCTGTCTCCGGTCCGCTCCCACTTGAGAGATCCTCAAGGGCGTAGGGAACGAGGTCAGTTTGAACTTCGCTGGCGAAACTCATTAGTTCCATCACGTTCTCCCATCGGGCGTCGGAATCCGGCTGCGTTTTCTTCAAATGGTCTTCGTACTCAGTGAGAGATATCAACTTTCGGATTATATCGGCGGGCATCCTTCCCTGGGGATAAGGTAATGCACGCGCAGTGAGCGAAAGGAAGCGCAGAAGTAGCGAAAAACCCTACCTTTGGGCTGCCAGACGTAATTCACGAACCGTGCGTACAAAGGAACCAACCTTGCGTTTGATGGATGGCTTGATGTCCGGTATTTTAGAATCGTAGATATGCTCAACAAGAGCTACAGGCGATAGGCGACGACCCTGAGCGGTTCGTAGTATTTCTCCGAGTGTCTTTCACAGAGTCATATTCAGAAATAAGTGAATCAAACCCACCCTGCTCACCTTATCGCCGATTCCCCTCGGCGGTACATTAATGACTCTCTCGAATGCCGGGACAAAATCGGGATTATCGACGACCTGCAGGTACGCCAGCAAGTCTTTGATCTTTAGAAAAAGAAATGATCGTCAACGTGGATGTAATACAGAACTGCGGGTCCGTCACCTCCAGGCGCTCGAAGAACTTCTGACCCTTCAGGACCCTACAAGGTATCCCCTCTTTTCTGAGGGCACTCTCAAGACTCCGGGACAGTGAATTCATGCGTACTGCAAACTCTCGTCAGCCACACCACTAGATATCAGGCATAAGGCGGACTCTCGCACGCAAGATAACGAAATCTTCCCAGCCGAGCATCCCTCCGGAGGAGGCGGATAATCGCTTGATTTCTCGGGCTATGCATGCAGCCTCGTCCTGCTCCGAAGGGAAGCATTGCAAGACAGGGCAACAGCCATCGGGATGTGACGTATGGAGCGTCTTCTGTATTCGTGAATGGTCTATGGATCTAAGTCAGAATGCAAGCATAGATCAAGAATGCAGTTGGACTCATACCTTGAGCAACGATAGACATACATGCTCGTAGGATTGACGCCGTTGAACGATAGTTCTCTTCTAGAAGTATTTGCACTGTAGAAGGGAAATCTGCGTTTACGATCAGTTACGGTCTTCTCATTCCTGGGCAGGCGATTACCTATTCTCATCTTCGCAAGATTGGCAACTTCCGCCGAGCGCCAGCCATAGACTAGCGTGAGTCAGTACATGCAAGGATTCATAGCTGGAGACGGCGTCCTTACTAGATTGATCCGGGTCCCCAACGATGGTGACACATCTAGAGACGGACGCGATATGCCGCATAAGCTCGTATTGCAGCGTGTTTGTGTCTTGGCTGAAGTAGCGAAAGGCTCAATGGGGCAAACATACGATGAAAGAAAGTGACATACAACTCGTCCACGAGTACATGGGTACACCAGGCAATTACTTCTTTATTCCGAGAGAAGAGCTCGACGCCATAAACCAGAAGGTCATCGAAGTCCAAGCTGTTATTCTCTCTGAGATACTTCTCGTAGGCTTCATATAGTTCTGCAATAATTCGGTTGAGATCGTGGCCGGTCTGACTCGCTAATTCGATAGTGGAGGTCGATCGGACAGCAAGGGCTCGCCAGCTCTCGCCTCGAGATTTCGCCTTAGATATTATAGAAGTGACACTGCGCACATCTAGAGTGATGTTCCTTTCTTCTAGGTAATCCTTGTATGAGCCCAGCAATTTCTTCAGGATCTTCTTACTTCATGATACGAGCGGACAGGGTAAGGACATATTACTCATATATGCGCATACAGCGAGCTTTAGCTCACCTTTCGTCCGCGTCACACACGGTAAAGTTACTTTTGATGCCCACGCGTGTTGGATAACGCCTGAGAAACAAAGCGCAGAGAGCATGAAACGTCCCCATCTTGACCTCGTCGACCTTCGCTTTTCCGATCACTTTGGTGAGTCGTTCTTTCATCTCGCGAGCTGCCTTGTTTGTGAACGTGACGGCGCATATGGATGATGGCTGGACATGCTCGTGAAGGATCAGGTATGCAATCCTAGAGGTGAGAACCTTCTCTAGCCCATCAGGAGAGGAATCCAATTGAAGACTGAAGTCATCACCTTCGTCTTTCCACTTCCAGGCCCAGCGAGTATCTGCAGTGGAATATCATGTGGGTGTCGCACCGCTACTCCAGATCGAATCGATGTTTAGGCTGCAATAGGCATGCTGACACACCTCTGACTTGCGCTGGATTCAGACACTGTAGATAAGTCTCATCCGCCATGTTTCGCGCTGCACGGTGGGAGGAGAACAAGGAGAATAAGCCGCTGAACGGTCAGTGTTCAGCGGGAGTGGCAGGGACGCGTCGCATGAGTGCAGGACGCGACCGGGGACGCGTCGCGCAGTAAATGTCACGGGATCGTGAAGATTCACACGGTTCGGTCCGGCGGAGTCGGCGGGATCGCACTCGGGCCTTCGATGCGATTAGAATTACACATGCATACATCGTTTCAGCGGACAATCATAAAGTACAGTACTCAGGACAGAGAAAGGGATATAATAGTCATTAGGGCGGGAGTCAGATCATTATATTCGTTTAGGGCTCCTTCATCTCGACGGTCATCTTCTCCTGGCTGCCAGAGTGCGGCGCATGGCCGGTGATGTAGCTTTCAAGGCCTATACGTCTGGCAATGGCATCGTGGCGCTGCTGGTCAGCAGCAGCGAGGCCTTCAGACCCGAAGACGTCGTCCATCTCTTCGAGGGTCAGACCCTTTGTCTCGGGCACCTGAGGGCAATCTTAGAGGGTGTACACGCGGTCGACGAATTGTACTCACGCAAAAGAGGATGAACAACCCTCCAACAAACGAGAATGCGCCAAAGAACACGAAAGTCCCGAATCCGATGTGAGTGAGCATCGTTGGGGTTACTTGGCCGACTAGGATACAATTCAGAAGGCATATTACCGCCTCGAGCGCAATATCTACTCACCGATGAAGTTGTTCATCTGAAACATAGAATAGGCGTGAGTAAACCCCGGATGAACGCAGAAATCAACAGATGCTCACCCAGTTAGACGACGCGCCGATTGAGATACCCTTTCCACGGACACTCAGAGGCCAGATTTCCGCCACGACAATCCAGGAGCATGGACCCCAGGAGTAACCGAATCCTAAGATTTGACCACCATGAGCCTAGCAGGCGATCGAGTGCGAGGTCAACATACCAATGGCGAACAGCCAAACAAAGACACAAGCTGTCCAGGCAGCAGCTGGGTTCATGCAAGCGTCAGTACTATTTAATGGCTGGAAGCACTGTTGAAAGATTACCAGGGTGCCTAAACGAGACTTTTAAGCACTCGGAAGAAGTGGCGTAGACGAATACTCACGTTTCCCAGGAATTGTGGAATAAGCCGACAAGGATGGCGATGATGATATGGCAGGCGGCCATGATCATGGCGCCCGAAATCAAGACCGGTTTCCGCCCAAGCTTGTCTACCCATATGACGGCCGGAATAGTGGCCAGGAACATGCTGGCAGTAGAAAGCGGCTTCAGTGAGTTGTCTACGTGCGTATGCCAGACTGTATACTCACACTATGCCGACAACTCCAGTGGCCAGCAACGATATAGTGTTACCACCCAAGCCAAGATCCTGGAAGATGGATGGAGCGTAGTACAGGATGGCGTTGACACCTGTCCATTGCTGGAAGAACATGGTACTGCGAAGAGAACGTGTCAGTATGATCCACTGCGTTGTTTAGGGGATAGACTGACAGGCTTGCAACCGCTAGTCGGTAAAGCAGGGCTCTGTTACCGAGCAAGCTCATGTACCCGAAGAGGCCGAGCTTGAAGTCAGACTTGAAGGAGCCGTCCTGGTATTGAGGGTACTTCATCTCTGATGTCTCTTTCTCGAACAGATACTGAGCCTTGATCTCCCTATTAGAGGTTGCACTAGGTCAGGGATTGATACTACAGAGTACAACCACGGCATACATACAAGAATTCGATCTGTATGAGCTCGTGTTCCATCGGTAGAGATCTTGCGTTGCTAAGAACCACGAGGGCCTCCTCATCACGTCCTTGATTAACCAGCCACCTAGGAGAGGATAATGTCAGTCGAGGTCAAGTGGTCGTAGTAGCTGGAAGGTCGCTTCACCTAGGCGAAAATGGCATGAACATAACACCGCAACCCAGGATAAGCGCTGGAACGAGCTGGAGGGCCAGGGGGATCCGCCAGGCAGCCTCACTCTGCCCTGCCGTTGTTCCGCCAATATAGTTCGTTCCGTAATCGATCCAGAAAGAAATCATTATACCGAACGTAATGGCTAGCTGTTGTAAGGCGACCAAGCTACCTCGTACTTCCGGAGGAGCAAGCTCGGCGCTGAGAAATATTAGTGCGGGAGAAGAATGAAAGGAAATTCACATACTTGTAGAGGGGAACAGCCATACTGAGCGACCCGACTCCCAAACCGGTGATAAATCGTCCAGCGTAAATTGAGGATGGCCTGTAAGCTGCCGTCTGTACAACCACACCGATGCAGAAGACACAGACAGCTGTTGTACGAGCGGGTGGGGTGAGTTCAGATCTCCCGTGATGCACATCAAGCACGCACCTGCAAGAATTGTGTGCTTTCGCCCGAGCTTATCCGCCAGATAACCGGTGAGGAGGGTGCCGAACCAGGCCCCCAATTCCAAGATTGATACTAGCCATCCCTTAGTGTCAGGATCGGAGACCGCAGTTCCCATTCGGGCTTTGAACGTGTACATGCTGATAGGGCGCGTGTGAGCGCTGATAGTATAAACTCTATACCTATGTGGCTCACTCTAGGACACCGGAGAATACACCTTGGTTGTAACCTGTGGGCATTAAAGATAAGACAGGGTTCCAGGGCAGAAGTTACAGTTTCACTGACCATATAGCCTGCGTGGGATTTAGTAATGGAGTCAAGTTGATGATGAGTATCGACTCACAATCCGCCTAGCGACGCAAAGACCGCAATCGCGAATACCTTGCGATTGTGTACGAGGCCCGCCTGAAGAAGAGACTATTAGTGCTTTCCTGCGAGTCGAAGGCGAACTACTCACCCATCCCGACTTGGCTTGGTACGCAGCTCGAAGCTGAGCTGCTTGACTAAGGCCGCCTGCTGTTGCGACGCCGACCATTTTATCTTGAAGGTATCGTCAGGCGTAGGACGACAAGGAAAGCGGGACGACAGGGCAAGTCGTTAACCCCATGGCACGCCCCGCGCCCCCTCTTAAACCCCGGGTAAATGATCGATCAACCCAGCCCATCAATGCGGGACAGGTACACACGCGAATGGAAACATGGCGATAGAACGCGATTGGCAGAATTTGTCACCTGCGAGCTGTTTATCCGGGGTACTTAGCGGTTGCAGCAACTTTCCCCCAGGCCCAGGTGACACTAGATAGGCCCGGACCTGCGGGCCGCGAGGGACACGGATCAGCGCTCAGCCATAACCCTAGAGCAGTTGCCACACTTTGCCATGAAACCTTGCGGTAAGGTTAGAGCGCTCCTGCACTCTACATGTCTCTGCGTTGCGTCGAACAACGTCGAGTACTCGTGCGTATTCTTAGAGGCTGACGGCGTTAGAGCTCGGTGAATTACTCTCCGCTGGGTTCTCGACAGCGTTATCAACGTTATTAACAAAAATGGTAGTTATTAACATGTAATTAACATTGTCAATAACCAAAAGGCCACATTTGGCCACATTCCGTGTCCTCGACAGTACATTCGAGTCGGTGCTCGTAAAACACGTCCCTCAGGCCCCAATAAATGTAGAGACATGTTCTCCTTCTCTTTGGAGCACTTGAAAGCCTTCGTAGGAGCAGTACTGTGAGGAACAAGTCATCGAGCAGCGTGAGAGACCAGGCTTGGCACACGACGAAAACAACCTCATTGCCTGGACAGCAGGTGGCATAACTGTCTCATCCTCCGTAGAGTGGCTTGTAGTCGCTCACGAAACACCAGATACACCCCGACACTGCCCAGAGTCTCCTTGGACAACCATGTCCCGAATACCCGGTTCAGGGTAATTAACCAAGGGAAATCCGACCCTGAGATATTGACAAGTAATTAACCTGTTAATTACAGCTTGTTATTAACCGCTGC